TTGCTGGCCAGCCCCACCCCTGATCGGGGTGGGAGGGGGAGGGCAATCTCGTGTGGGGCTGGCTAGAGGGGGGCGGAGTGCTGTTGGCCAGCTGGCCCCGCCCCCTGGTTGAACTCCGGGTTGGGTCAAACTCCCGCCCAAGGGGACAATATGCATATTAGCCTTTTATTATATAGGATAATTTAGAAGTCTAATGATAGAAAATAGAATGTTGAAGTGACTCACAGTTTTATTGACGTTTTCACATTTTCTCTTCAAGTAATACTGAGAGCCAGTTCTGTGTAGGGTTTACTTTGCATTTTGTATTTTTTCTTTGGTTTGGAGAGGCCATATTTGGAGACAAGTAGCTGTGCTGCTACCATTGTCTTGGCAGCCAGAAGGGGACTGAAGATTGTTGAGTTCTTTGGCCCAAAGGTCCCTCTCTCAGGGTCCCTTCTTTCTTCATCAGGGCGCTACCCTTGCTGAGCAGGCCCATTGAAGTGGAGAACTCAACCTCCTCTGTAGCTCTGCTACTCTTAGAATTATGTCCTTGGTCCAAATCACAGCTTTTTTAACCATCTGACTCCAGAAGGGAAAAAATCTGCAATGCTAGCAAAATCTCTTGTGGCTCACACTTAACTGTTAGCTTGTAATTAGTCTTAGCTTTTCATTGTCTTTCTCCAAAGGACTGATGCCCCAGCAGGAACCATCCAATAGCATAGTCCTTATAATTACCATTTCCCAACTCATTTTCAAATGCCTGATGCCCAGGTATCCCCTCCTTTGGTTACAGCATCCCAGTACACCAACAGTGAAAATTTAAACAATTGCTTCAATAGAGCCAGCAGGGCCGACTTCTACTCCAACTCCAGCCAGTGCTGGGACCTTTTGACCAGCCAGCTGATGAGTGATCTAATTTCTAAATTTCATTTTAGTTTGCTCTCCAGAAGACGCCCAGTCAAACTCCATAGGTCTGTTTCCCTGGGAAGCAGACTCTAAAAGGCTATAAGAATGTGGGAAGCTTATTGTGGGCAGCTGTCAGGACCCACATGCCTGAGGCAGTGAAGGAGCAGGACTGGCAGAGGGAGCTGTTGAACTAAAAGGCAGGCACCAGCCTGGGCCACTCTACAGAGAACTGGACAGATAACAGTTTCTGAGAACTGTGTAAATGGAGGGAAGAAGGCTATGTCTTTATTTTATTTTATATATATATATATGTATGTGTGTGTGTGTGTGTGTGTGTGTGTGTATTCTTATTGATTTCAGAGAGGAAGGGAGAGGGAGAGATAGAAACATCAATGATGAGAGACAATCATTGATTGGCTACCTCCTGTATGCCCCACACTGGGGATCAAGCCCGCAACTCAGGATGTATCCTAACTGGGAATCGAACCATGACCTCCTGGTTCATAGGTTGACCCTCAACCACTGAGCCACACCAGCCAGGCGAGGCTGTGTCTTTATACTCCCAGTCCAGCCAGTCTTTTGACACAGGGTGCCCTCTGGGAAGGGATGCAAACTTTGCAATTAAGCTCACTTCAACTGAGGAGAAGTCCCAGTAAGCCTCTCAGCTGAGAATTGCCATTCTCCATCATATGATGAAAAATGGTGAGATCTTCATTCCTACCTTAAGGATTATTTTAATTATAGTAAATCATTTAATTTTTTATTTAAACAAAAACTGCTTATTGTAAATCTGCAAAGAATACAAAAGTGTGCTTTCCCAGGTTCAACTTTCTGTGTTCATTTGAAAGATTCGGCTGACATTGACCCTGGGGTCAAGGTGGGCTGAATGTTTTTTAAGCTCCTCCCAAGCATGTGACCCCTTTCCTTGAATCACAGGGTATTTTCCAGAAAGCAGGTGTCATGAGCTCCACCTCAATTCCTGAGAACATGGGGTGACCCAGCCCGGTCCATGGTGCCAAGCAGAGCAGCACCACAACTCTCACTGAAATCTGTCCTCACTCTACTCAAATGCTCTGTTGACATTTGTTCCTGTATCACTGAGAAGGTGAACTTGTCCTCATTCAAAAGACAAGGTCTTAGGGTCATCCTATGGGACAACAGTGATGTATTTTTTCTAGGTTTGAATCCCATTAATCTGTGACTCTCCATAAACTCCCTGAGCCTCAGCTTTCTCATCAGAATGAGGATAATACTACCTGCCCCATTGGGTGTGAAGACCAAGTCAGTTCATCAGGTGCCGCACTTACCTGTTCTTTGGTATACATATTCCATCCATCCCTTCTCTCGAGGAAGACAACCCTGGCAAGCTAAGTAGACTTTGATTGAGGATGAACCCCATTACTCTGATTTCTGCCTTGAGCCTGAGACCAAATCAGCATTCAAAAGCTATTTCAGAGTATTGATGGGCACAAGTAGCATCAGATAAAGTGGAGGACCCTGGGAATGGTTTCCTCTAATGCAGCAGTTCTCAACCTATGGGTCGCGACCCTTTGGGGGTCGAATGACCCTTTCACAGAGGTCACCTAAATACATCCTGCATATCACATATTTACATTATGATTCATAACAGTAGCAAAATTACAGTTATGAAGTAGCAATGAAAATAATTTTATGGCTGGGGGTCACAACATGAGGAACTATATTAAAGGGTCGCAGCATTAGGGAGGTTGAGACTACTGCTCTTAATGGTTCCTCCTGTCCCTGGATTTGCAGGCCCAGTACTATCTACTCAATTCCTCATAGCTGTCCTCCTAGGCCTCAAGGTGCTGCTGGTGATTGGTGTCTCTGCCATCTATGTCCACAGGAAGTGGAGAGCCTGACAGTAAGTTGTTGGGCAGGGAAGGAAGGCTAATGTCTGTCCTAAAAGGGGCAAGGTTAACAAAAGAGGCCATCCCACAAGGTCAGGGTCCAAGAAGAGTTAGAAGAAGGTGACACACCTCCATCAATAACCTCAGGAGTTTTAAGGATCCCTCTAAGAGATTCCTACCTCCTAGGAATTATGTGGGGTCCTGTAAGAGGTGGACTGTAAAAAGGATATCCACAATGCTTTAGGGTTTCTGTGGAGGAACTGGGCAGAGGGAACTAATTGAGGGACAGCTAAGTGGGTAGTTCCCTTGGAGACAATCACCAGATTATTTGATTGCTGATGCTCCTTGTGGCAGAGAATCCACAGTTTAGTGTATTATTGAGAACTCCTGAATCTGCTGCTCTGATCCTGTGTGACAGAGTGGAAGGGATGAGGAAGGAGGATCAGGACCTGGGGAGAAAGGCTGAAGAGGCAGAGTCCTATGCCAGGTGCTACATGTTCTCTCATGACAGGAATGTCAAGAGGAGGACAGTCCAGGACATTGGAGACATGCAGTAAACATTTCCTGAATGATGAGCAGATAGTTAAACATGAACACGCTTCCCACAGCTCATTCCTTCTTCTCCTGCTACATGCCACCCCCAATCTCAGCAGTCTCCTTCCTTCTATGAGAGACTCAGCCTAAGAAAAAAGTTGACTAGAAACTTTCACAGACTCTGCTTCAAACGCCTCCCCCAAACTAGATCTGCTCCCCACAGGCTCCTCCTGCTGTTCCTTCTCACAGTTCTTGATGCCACCAGAGCTGGGTCTTCATACATGCTCCTCTCAGAAACACAAGCGGGCCCTAGCTGGTTTGGCTCAGTGGATAGAGCGTTGGCCTGCGGACTGAAGAGTCCCGGGTTCAATTCCGGTCAATGGCACATGCCTAGGTTGTAGGCTCGATCCCCAGTAGGGGGGTGCAAGAGGCAGCTGATCCAATTATTCTCAGCATTGATGTTTCTCTCTCTCCCTCTCCCTCTCCCTCTCCCTTCCTCTCTG